TCAATATTTTTAATAAATTCAAGATGTAAAATAATTTTTGTTAAGGGTTTAAAAGTTTTAAAACAAAATCTTAATATTTTAAATATCAAGATATTTTAAATTTTTTTATTTATGTTTATTTTTAAAAATAATTTTTAAATTTTTTTCTTTAATCAAAATTTAAATTTATCACTCATAAACAATACAAAAAATAAAAACTTTTACAAATTTCATCAAACATACTCTTAACATATGTTAATAGTACGTAGTCTCGATTTGTCATACAAATTCTTCATTGAAGTCATCAAGAACGGTTTGATTTGAACTAATACACCTTAAATCAATTCAAAAGGAAATAACCTATGGAGCCAACTTAAGGTTCAAAAAGTGACTCTCTCTATATTATGTGTTGCGCAACGTCTGTCTTCAAGGATTGAAGCTTCTAGCATTTATTTTTATTTTATTTTGTTTCTGTGGATTGCATCCCAATTCTGTTCTTGTTTTTGGTAGCGATTGACTCAGTTAACTCCATAAGGAATTAGCTGCCATTTTCTTCCCCATGTTATGTGCATTTATTCAACCCATAACTTGAAGAGTGACGCCATCCTGGGGTGCTCCCTACCTGATATTTTGATTTTGGGGAAAAACGATTCTTTTCAATGATATTATAGCTTCTTTGACCTAAGTGATCTATTTTGGGGCCCTAATAATGCACTTCTTGATTATGTTAAGTTGTAATCTTCATGGTCAAAACTAACTGTAGGCATACTTCCTTTGCCTATGCTTTCAAACTCAAAAGGTTTAGAATTTTTTTTAATATACTTTTACTAATTTTGTGCAATATTTTATATATTTTTAATATAATAAAAAAACAAAAAAAATCTATAATTATAGTACAACATATCACAGACAATAAAACTTGATCAGCTATTTACCTGTACTTTTCAATTTGCTTGGTGTATAGGACTTTGAGCTCTAACTAGTCGATATTTACTAATTAATTAAAAAATTGATTTAAGATCAAAGTATGAAATTTTAAATTTGCAATGCTCGGTGAAACAAAAAAGGAGAAAAAAAGATTAACTAACATATTATGCAACCGACCCCAATGCACAAAAAGAAGAAGGTAATTTTAAGTCAATGCACAAACGGATTGGGCAACAGTTTCAAAACAGAAGTTAGTAATCACAAAAGAGAAGGGCTCCAAAAGAGTGCGTTATTATGTCTATATATAAGGAAAAACTGTTAATTTCTAAAGGTAAATCAATTGGTTTCATTTGAGTGGGGTGATTTAGGAAGAGTAGAACTATTTCTTACTATATAATTTAACATTTAATGTTCCAAATAAAATTGGTTACATTTGGTACGGTTTTACAAAGGATGACTACTTACAAAATCAGTGAACTTGAGGAATCGAAATCAATATTGGCATCGGCAGGTGGTCTCGGAGGAGATGACAAGAAAGACTTGGGTGGAATTTCTAAAGCATCGAGGTTCCCTTTCAACATCTCAACCACCCTATACATTGGCGGCCGGTTTGAGGGGTGAGTCTGTATGCACCACAAACCTACTATTATCATCTTCCTTGCTCTCTCCTCATCATTCTCGTTCATGCTGCTCCAAAATCCAAGTTCTTCATCCAATTCAAGACGTCTGTATATCCACTGTGGAAAATATTCACTGCTATGGTCGGATTCAGCATTGATATTTTTTCGCGCACCAACCATATCTAGTATCATCATGCCATAACTATAGACATCAGACTTATGGGACACCCTTCCTAT